TTTTTATTGGTTTTACCTTTTATCTGCCTGCATACCACTTCCGTCAGTTTTCTCCTTTATATTCTTGAGAAAGTATTTATATAATATTATAATTCAAAATTATCTATAATCTAAAAATATTCTCTCCGGTATGAAAATCAAAACTGAATCAGTTTTTAAGTTTGAAATTTACATGTATTGTTTGGATCCCCATAATGAGAATTAAATTGGTTTCTATGAATTTTTACAATGTAAAAGTATATTTCATGATTTATTAATGTAATCTTTTGTGAAAAAGGTAAACAGATATAAAGGCTCATGCACATATAATGGAAAAAGTTCCTGTTAAATTTTCACTTTTTTCGTTTATTCTCCTAGTCAAAATTTTTCTGTAGAAAATTGGTATAAGAATCCCGGCTGAGCTCTCAATTTGTAAGAATTTGGTTAAAGAATAGTTGTTTATTTGAGGTTAAATAAATTGAAAATTTGTTTAATGATGATTATAAAGTGACGTTTTACTATTTTCTTACTTGCTAAACTCGCTAGACTCACAACTCTCAATTCACTATCTTCTCTCTGACCTCTCGACACTCACTTTTTTCTTATCTGCACAAAAATTCGTGGAGGGCTAGCCATAAGCCTCATAATTTCATAACCTGATCGTTTTTTTTTTTTTTTTTTTTTATTCAAATCTATTATTTACTTCGTTGGACAAAATTTCCGAAACACGATTTGGACCTCACGAAAAAATATGTATATCTTGAAACTAGCTGTAGCTTGGCATTACTGTTATTAGACTTATCGGTTCGAATGTCACAAATATTAATTGGCCAAGACCAACTATAATAAACCATTGAAAAATGCCGCATTTCCAATCTATACGTAGAACTTCGTTCTCTTCCAATTTGTGTAGTTTGCTAGTAGGTCAGTCGATAATACCGTTCAACAGCTTTACAATTTTATCGTACGAGTCTTGACGTTAATGAGAGATTTTCATTCTACTTTCTCTCCTTTTTTTTTAACGTACAACTGCAATTTAGACAGGAGTGCCCGATAATGTTACGAATAATTCAAACGATTAATTTGAATAAGTTAATCATTAAATGAATAAAATTTTCGCTACTAATATAAAATATATTTTACACGTAAACTGGAGACATTCTGGGACATTTAAAATTCCAAAAATCTACAAAATATTTGAAATCATAATAAAATAATATCTAATATCTAAACTATCCAAGGTAGAGCATTTCTCATAATTTTAACAAATAAAACAAATTTCCATTTAGAATCAATTTCTTCAATTACGTTCACAAATAATACACACTGATACTTTCAAAATAACGACTTAGTAATATTGTTTCTTTCAGATTTCGTATAAGGAATTTATTGTATATTCCACGTGTACTTTTCTTCTTGTATTTACGTTTTACTTTCTATTTTTATTATTGCTACGTCGTCATTCTACCGTAAATCCTGCATTCTATCTTCTACCCTCGAAACTCTTAGTTTTCCACCGTGAGTCGCAAACGTAGTTAACAAACTTATCCTCAAAACCGAGCATTCCCCGCGAGAATTCATTTTATCCATCGGACAGAAATAATTTTAACTTTGCAGAAAATGCCGTGGGCACATACCACTCGGAGCGGTGGTGCCTTAGCTTCGCATGTTAAGGGCCGTGGCGACGATGATGGACTCGCTTGACGTTAAGTCGCCAGGATAATCCGAGATTTACACAGTCGTCTAGGCCACGATTTTCCATCGTTGTCGGTGCCGTAGCGATTATGTGGCAGGCGGGCGTAAAACTGCAAGTGCCCCACGGTTTGTTTAAGGTTATTGAACTTTTTTACCAGGCGACGTTCGTTCCATCGTCGTTATAAAGCTTCGTCCGCTCTCGTATTTCTCTAATTTACGGTTTTAATTAAAGAGATACGCGAGGCGGTTCGTCTTAATTAAACGGCGCGCGACCAGCCTAACCGGATAAACGAAGTACAATTTTCTAATATGCGCAATCGCTGCGACGACCGAGAAACCAAAGAAATCCTTAATTCGCGATCCGTCACGATTCGTTTTCACGACGTTTGAAACGGAGCTTTAAACGATACTACTGGCCTAGAAAATAAGGGAAAAGACGGCGGAACCATCGAAATGGAAACGAGAAAAGAAAGACTGAAACGAGACGCTGACTTTGCGTCTTGATACTTTGCGAATTGATCGAGACAAAAGGTTGGTCGACTCGAATCAATGATGACACGGAGCGAAAAGACGCGAATAATAATGGACGATATTACGAATGTAACGAAATAATCAGGCATTGCAGAATGTACGGAATGAATGAAAAGTCATGTGGTCTGTCTATGAAACTGTTATGTGCTGAGATGTGCAGGATTGAGAAATGAAAGAATCTGACTTCGGTTTTTTATTTGAAAATAAAAAGTAATTTTTGCACCGTTTAAATCCAGATTTTTGCGGATTAAAAATTTTATAATCCTTAATTTCTTTTTTTATATCATTTTTTTTAGAAAAATGATTTAATGTATTTACGAAATATATCGGTTTTGAAGACTGAAAAAAAAAAATTAAGTGTGTGCATATGCCTCATTATTGGTAGGTAAAAATAATACAAATAGATTGTAACCTACGTGATTTAAAATAAATATAAATAAAGTTTATTAATTTAGAAATTAACAGATACTCAAAAGTCCCAATACGGTGATGACGAAAGATATTAATCCACTCTTTCAATCTGCGCTCTCTCTTTCTCTCTCTTTCTAACGTCTCGCTACTCTCTCCAAGTTTTCACTCTACCACGACCGATTCTTTCTTTATGATTCCTTCACCATTTATGTGAATCCTCGAAACCTTTGTCTCTTGCTAATATTACCTTAATGTTTTAAGCCCTAAAATTTGGGTAGCTAAAACAAATATTCCCAGGCCTGGCCTACGATATGAGAATTGTCTCGGACACGTAGGTCTTGAGCCAGACAAAAAGAAGTTCCGAGCAATTTCCCAAGTTTCCTTACCCGACATTATTGATTCTAATAAATCTATTTAACACAAAAAATCTAATGCATTGTAATGTGCAAAACACTTTACTTGTGCATTTTTCATAAAAGAGGAAAAATTTCAGAAAATTGAATACATTTTACGACCTCGGAAACGTATTACCTGCGACAAAAGGTTCATGTTCAAATAGTTGATTACATTTTACGATCTCGGAAACGTGTTATTCATGTTCAAAATCAAGAAACTTATCGTTATTCAGTATTCTATTGACAATATATGACAACATAACATTTTCTATTATCTTGACATCAACAAACATTAAATAATCATTAAATAATCATTAAACTTGGTGGATACTAATGAAATTTGGGAAAATATTTGCAGTAATAAAGGAAGTAGATTTGCAGATAAAAGTGACAGTAGTAAAGTAGGAAAGCATTTGTATAATATGAAAAGAAATATTTCGAGAAGATAATAAACCTAGTAGTAAAAGAATTTCTTTAGTTTGCCATTAAAGGATAATTTGCAAAATTCCGAAATTAGTTGCGACTGCTGCACAAAATTCAAAAAATAGGTGAAAATATAAATTACTGTATTTGTCGAAAGGCTCAGACGTTGGTGAAGAGCATGTGAGATTACATAAAATGCGAAATTAACTCTGGTGCTAATTTAGCGACGACTAGTAAGTATCCCCGTGGGTACGACACAGCTTAACTCTCGGTCGCACATAAAATCTTTTGTTACCCTTTATCTTCACCTTTCTTTGCAACGTTGCAGGAGGAAAAACCAAATAACAATCAAACAAACAAAAAACAGAAATTACCTGCAAAATAACGTGGATTTGTCGTGGTCGAGACAAATGCTGCCATCGTTCGTGAAGATCAGAACTAAAGTGCCACGTTGCCACACGATTTACTGTATAAAATGAAATGCCCATCATTTTTTGGAAGAAATGAAACTGAAATTGCACGATACGATAAATTTTGATTATAAATATTGCATGAAACATTAATTTTTAATTAATATATTAAGATTTTGTCAGAAATTAACAAAACTACTACAAACCTATCGATTAATTTATTACTCTCTTCTTGTAGATCATTATTTTTAACACAAGTAAAATTTATGATTATAGAATTGTTATTTTGATGCAACAAAGTATCGTAATTAATGTGGTTAACATAAAATATCAAATAATATAGAAAAGTACTGTAATTTTTGTATATATCACTTGAATACGTGAATCTTGTATATAAATATTAATTATTTTACAAATGAATATGTTGCACAATTTTTTAAGTTGAGAAAAATAATGCATATAGTTGCGTCCTCTTTTTTATACAATTTATATAATATTAAATTCAATATTTTTTATATAATATTAAAAATTCTATCGCTTCGGATCAATTGCTTAAATAATTTACACGCGATGAAGTCGTGTAACGGCGTTACTTCGTCTAGATAACAATAATGTACAACAATATTAACAATAAAAGCACGTTCAACATGAAAGTCATAAATCATGCGGTTTAAAGAAGCGCAATTCAATAACACAATTATTGTACATGCAACAAAACATAAGTTAGCTGTAATTTCTCGCAATATTTATAATTTATAAAACGTATTTTTTAGAGAATTGTTAATTTTAGAAAGTTGGGGATACGGTAGAAGATCGGAAAGGATAATTTTCTACCTGCACTCATTGTTACTTTCAACCAATAGGCATCCTTGTATTTAAGCTTATATTGCGCCTGTCTGAACTATTCTTCACGCGAGACTTCTTTATTAAATTATTATATCATTAATATTGCAATAGAATTTTTATTAAGATGAAATAGTATATAATAAAATAATCAGTAAATTTGTTTCTTAAATAATTGAAATGTAAAATGTAATTCATTTCCCACTGCGCCCTCCAGATGGCGCTCAACCGAGACTATATCTACGAGGTATATCTACCTGCTAGGTTCTTTGTGCTTAAAACTGTAAGGGAACGCCATATTCGTACAGTAGCTGGTTTGATGCGGGCGTGTAAACGTGTTGTCTACTTATTTTCAAATACTAACATTTCATTATTTATTTACACGATATATCGCGATACAAAGTGTTCCGTGCTTGGAGTGTGTTACGTTCGATGCTGCAGTTGACTGAATTTCCATCGATATATGGAATAATCTGATAGACGCGAGTGATTTTGTGACTTATGGACCTTCTTTCCCTCTGGAGTCTTCACCTCGTAAATTGTTTACAAGTTCTTCACGCTGCCTTGCAATTAAATAGAGCTCGCAGAACGTATTATTCGCGTTAGGAGTACAATTTCGTTTTCAGAAATTGTCGGCAAGCAACGGATGAACGTGATACATCTTTACTAGAGGCATTTTCACGTTTTATAACCTGACAACACGTTCGAAGTTTTTCCATCCCTATCATGTCATTTCAACTTTGACGAAGTATTAAGTAGTACGTATCCGAACAATGCATAGTCTTTGTATTCCCGCATGTTCCCGATCACGTGTAGAATGTTCGAAGGGAAAAATTCGCGCGACCAAAAATTAATCACCGACAGTATCTGCGCATTTTGTAAAATGTTCGACGTTCTTCTGAAAATAGTCTCAATTTTTTACTTGTCTTTTTCCAGGATTGTGTTTCTCCATTATCGCTTAATTGCATTCCTACACAAATTTTCGCAGGCTTTTCTATTAACTTCTTCGTTTTTATATAACGTTGTAAAAAATTTTGTTTTTTATAACGAAAATTATATGTAAATGTAGATATCCAAAATGGTTTAAATATGATAAGTTTAACTCAATGTTTTATAGTTGCTATTGTATCAGATATATTGGGTTTATATCTGTTTATATTACTTGTATATTAGAAAGCATGTGTAGAAATAAGATTTCATTGAAAAACAATGTGTAATAATTATTTATTAAATTTATGTAATGAGATCTATTTTCATTTTGTGTACTATTATTTTCTAAAGACGTTATTATTTTGCTATATTAGGGAGGTATTCTAGTATGATGAACAAGTTTTTTATACTTCTTTACAAATTTTTTTAGTAAAATGGTATTAATATAAACTACGTTCCTACATATTATTTCTGATGAATGATCAATAAATTTTTGTTGAATTTCAATTTCTGGTATGAAAAAAGTATTTGTTGATGGTTGCGATGATTTAAGCCATTTTACTTATTAGAAACACAAAAGTTCAATTGACTCTTAATTAAAAAGAAAGAAAAGTATTGAAAAATGAAGGAATGGCAGTAAAAGTTTGGAAAAGTTTTGATTTCTCTGATATTCTTTTGTTTTTAAGAAGGTGTAAAAATTAGAAAAAGTATGTTTTGACTTAATTGTGATATTTGCTATATAAATACGCTATAAAGACATATACAAAATCTGCTCAATCACTACAGTAGTTTTTAAAATATGGCAACTATTTTGAAAAACATGGTTTTGATAAAAACCTATTTAAAACTTTTAAACTTTTTTCACATTTTATTTACCAGTAATCTGTCAATCTATGTTTCTAAAGTTGTAGTTTTGATGTATATAAAAAAAAAAAATCAATTTTTCAATTGGATTACACTAAAATATCTCCTTAATGTAATTATTTTTTTAATGATACCAAGTAACGTTACTGAAATGATACTAAAATGATACTGAAATGATACTAAAAGTTTTTATTACCTCAGGATTACTCATGTAAGGGTCTAGTGCAAATACATCCTGGCATTAGACTTTCAAGTGGGTAATCTAGGGTTAATCTGTCCATCAGTTTGTAAGAACTTTAAGCATTCTAAAAATCAATTAAGTGAAATTGTCATTTCAGATTTGAGACAAGTTATTGAATGTCAAAATGTGGTCATCTCAAGGTAATAATTCAAATTCAAACAACTCATCCAAGGAAGAAAAAAATTTGCGTACATTAGGCATGACATCTGCTATTAGTGTAGCAGAACCAAAGCCTAGTGATTTTACTAGGACAAATGAATTAAAAGAGGCATTAAAACCCTATAATGTTTTTGAATCTGAGGAAGAACTGAACCATAGGATGGAAATTTTAAGGTACGTATTTCCCTACTTATGTTGTATAATATTGATATCGAACACTACTAACTGTACATTATGTTATTTGTTATGATTCATCAGCAAATTAAATGCACTGGTGAAGCAGTGGATACGGGACACTAGCATTGCCAGAAATATGCCACCCAATGTAGCTGAACAAGTTGGCGGTAAAATATATACTTTCGGTTCATATAGGTTAGGGGTACATCACAAAGGTGCTGATATAGATGCCCTGTGTGTTGTACCACGTCACATCTATAGGTCGGATTATTTTAGCTCATTCTTTGAGTTACTGAAAATGCAAGAAGAAGTTACAGATTTAAGGGTATGTACTTTAGATAATATCATATAATCGTATCATTAATTGTCACACAGTAAGTAATACAATTCACAACTGGAGTTATTACTAGGTGATTAATGATAAAAATCTCTATTTTAATATATCAAAGATAAATCATACATAAAATATCTAATGAATACTTAATAATTACTTATATTATTTAATATATTTTAGGCAGTGGAAGAAGCATTTGTACCAGTAATAAAAATGAATTTTGATGGTATTGAAATTGATATGTTGTTTGCCAAACTGGCACTAAAAGAAATTCCCGATTCAATGGTTAGTATTTGATTTAAAAGTATTAATATTTTCCCTTCTTCTATATCTAATATTGTATATCTAACAAATTTTTTCATTTATGTAGGATCTTAGAGATGATATTCTTCTCAAAAATCTTGATCAAAAATGTGTAAGAAGTCTAAACGGATGTAGAGTAACAGACGAAATATTACGTTTAGTGCCCAATATAGAAAATTTTAGACTGGCACTAAGAGCTATCAAGTTATGGGCAAAGCGTAAGATGATATTCCATTTAATTTTCATGCGTCATGAGATAAGACAAGTGTTTCTAATATATATAATGCTTTGTATATTTATTTTTAGGACATGGAATATATAGCAATGTATTAGGATATCTAGGCGGTGTATCTTGGGCAATGTTGGTTGCAAGAACATGTCAACTTTATCCAAACGCAGTCGCAGCAACTTTAATAGAGAAATTTTTCCTTGTATTCTCACAATGGAAATGGCCACAACCAGTTCTTCTAAAGCAACCTGACAATGTTAATTTAGGTTTTCCCGTTTGGGATCCAAGAGTAAGTATTATTTCGAAACATATATTTTTCTTGTTAAATTATGTTATATACTATTAAAAATATTTTAATTCAATTCTTTTTTGAAGGTGAATATATCAGATAGATATCACTTAATGCCAATAATTACGCCCGCGTATCCTCAACAAAATTCAACATTCAACGTGTCGGTGTCAACAAGAACTATTATGCAAGAGGCGTTTGAGAATGGACTTTCCATAACGGAAGAGATTATTATGGGGAAGGCAACGTGGGATAAATTATTCGAACCTCCAAATTTCTTTGGCAAATATAAGCATTATATTGTACTGTTGGCAAGAAGTTCAACCGCTGAAGACCAACTCGAGTGGTGTGGGCTTGTCGAGTCAAAAATACGACATTTAATAGGTAAAATATTGAATACATTAAATACATTCAGTTAAATTATGTAGATATGATAAAATTCTTCGATGGATGTACATTAATCAATATTATAGCATACGAGATGTTATATAGAAATATTAATCGAACGATCATGTAAATTAAGTAATTTGTAGATAAAAATGTGAATTAATCGATGACGCTTACAAATACTTAAAAGTCAGCTATCTTGTTAGTTTGAACATAAATTAAAACAAGTTACTTTTATTGTTATATAAATTATTCGAATTTTCTATATTCTTCGTATCATAAATTTATACACTTTCCACAGGAATAAGCAAATTTCAAATCAGTGAATCTATGTCTATTCTAAAAACATCGAATGTTCATTTTGTTAATATTACAGTACTAATAAACCTTTTAAAAATAGGTGCATTGGAAAGGAATCTACACATTAAATTGGCACACGTAAATCCGGAGGCATTTCCGCCGTTAGAACCAGAACCAGAAGGGCACTGTTCTATGTGGTTTATCGGTTTGCTATTTGCCAAAAGCGAGAATTTAAATATTGATCTAACGTACGATATAAAATCTTTTGTGGACTCAAGTAAGTATATTGTAACACGTGTTATGAAATTAAATAATTTAATTTCAGCAACTGCTTCTATATATCTATAAATATATTAAATTATAGTTCTAAGGCAAGCAGAACAGCTGAACATGTTGAAGGAGGGTATGTGGATCGAAGTAAAACACGTGAAAAAGAAGGATCTTCATACTTATGTATCTCCTAGTTTGCTTAAACGGGAAAGAAAAGTACGGGTCAATTTCATTTTTCTTGTTTGCATAAATATTGCGCAAATATAGAATATTAACGATTCTTTTCTTACAGATTTCCGGAAATATACATAAAAATGGAAATATTGCCGGGAATGGTAATAATGGTGGCGTTTCCCCACGAAATCAAGGAGATGTGAACAGCAGGAAAAGATTATCCGATCAAAACATAGACACATTCGGGAAAAAACGGAGAGTCACCGATAACGAACAACAAGTAACACATGTATGTATTGGAAATACAATTTGACTAAATATTATATATTATATTAGAATAAAAATAATCAGTAATTATGATAATATGTTCGCAGGCAGATGGATCGTTAGTGGTTCAATCTTGTGGCGAAGACAGCAATTCCGGATTTAGCTTGGATGAATACAAACAAACATTGACAGCTACTAAGGATGTAAGACATTGTACATATAATGAACAATAATCATCATATATCAGGATTAGGTAACTACATATAAAAATAGAGCATAGTAAGACAGTTTCGGATTCGTTGGAGAAGAAATTATTTTTTATTAATTGGGTTTGTGCGGAGGTAAGGAGCGGAGAGTACAACATTATCGATGTGATTAGTTTATTTGCAATGTTCCGCTTCTTTCTTTTATTTTGATTTCTTAATACTTGAGAAACAAGAATAATTTTAACTGTTTCGTTATTCAAAATGTTTCAGGAGGGGCCTACTGGTGCATCTACAGTAGCACAGGAAGGATACGTTTGCACTTGATCACTGCAGGATTACTACCTCAAGTCGATCCATAGATGCTCCTCTGGGCCATCTAGACTGTAATCACTTTTCATGCAACCATCCACTGCCTACTGTAAGTCCCCCCATTTCCTAAAAGCAAAGCAACGTCATGCGAAGAACATTATCTATTGGAGTCAATCGATGCACGACTGTATGACGAACGCTATAATTTTAGTATTTATGAACAACATCAACAGTCAATGGGAACAATTATGCCATGAACGAATGATTGTGCCAGTGTCTGTGATGTTACTTTTTTATCGTAAATCGCGTTGGTCATATTGGGAGGCCATGATTGAAGGGCTAGTAGTAGCAAAACATCACTAAATCTCTAAGGTTTATAATTTTATTTTTATATTTCATTTTGTACATATCACTTATAATCATTTTTATCCACAAAATTATTAAAAACGAGAAAAAAAAAGAAAAAAAGGAAACTATGGAAAAGGAAAAAAGATAAAAAAGACACAGTGTTGGATCTAGAAAGATCAGAAAGATAGTTCGTGTCATTACGCTAAAATGCGAATAAGTAAACAATATTTTGTATTAGACTTGATGCTTCTATTAGGATTTTCAGCAATGAAAAGAAAGAAAAAAAAGAAAAAAAAAAAAACGAGAACTACGAAGTTTTTGATGTTTCGAAGGTGAAACATATTCTTGTATAAAACGCATTTCTTTAATGCATAAATAGATAAAAGATATAAAAAAAAGAGCAAGTATATTTAAGTTGTAAATAATTAATACATTATTATTTTCGCTGTAAATTACATGAAACGATTTATCTTCTTAAGTCTGTAAAAGCATAACCGCAGTACGATAGTAGATTTTAGTTTCTTCTCTCAATTATTTTATAATATCCCTTAGCTATTTATACTATCTATGCTAAAGGAGTATCTCTCTCCCATTGAATATTAGTTGCTGTACGAACTCGATTCTGACACATACAGCATTGTTTATATTTCTCACGTATGAAATGTCTAAGAAAAGAAAAAGTTATTTTTTTCTTTACCGTAACCAGTCGAGTAACAAAACGAAAAATCACCGGCACTGGCATAACAGATTGAATGTTTCATTTACAGAAGAATCGTTGATTGTAGCACTATTAGATTCGAGTTGATAGATTACTCATAGTAATAGTCTGTAAATGAAACATCTATGAACAAGCCATTGACTATCTTTGTTAACGATCGTGTTACGTTAAACGATGTTTTTCGAATGGAGAGCTTTCATTCGCAGAAGTTATAGCTTTAACAATGCAACACGGGACTGGCATCTGGATTCTGATTCGAATCGTCAATATCACCTGTTGGTGAGTTTTTTTCAGATGTTCGATTGTTTTCAGTTCCCTTTCAGTTTAGAAATTCTATCCTGTAATCATCTCCCCGATTCTATCTCTTTTTCTTTTTTCTTTTTTTTTTTTAATCATTTTATTCTTACTCTCCATTTACGAATTACCATTGTGTTAAAGGCATGTCGATTAACACGTCTCGAGGTGTTTGATGTTCACTCTTTAATAATAAATAATATTATATATATAATAAGTATTACATTGAAACGCATAGGTTTATCTCAGGAACTAAGTATTTGCAGGGTAACCACCGCATACAAATTGCGACCTTTTGTATCGATTTATACATTAATATTGCGACAAAAATTAAAAATTATTTCCACGCATCCATATAATTATTATCATTTCTTTCCACACTGTATCCTATATCTTTTCTGTCGTATTCAAATCCGTTTGATGTACGATTATTTCGATACTCTGCGAATACTGTAGTTAATTCTATTGAGATTAGGGACCATTTCGTTGTTTGTACATATTCGTCGTAATCTCGAGATCATCTCTTTTTCTTATGCGGCTTCTTCTTTGCTCGTCTATGATTTACGTTGCGTCAATCGAAGTATAAATGTATAGTTGAAAAATTAGAATATTATATAAAACAATTACTCTTCTACTATTTCTTTTTTCTTCGTTATAATTATAGTCAAGTTAGATTCATGTATGATACGTATTATATTAACATTATTTATACCGTATCCTATCATTTCGTTATGTCATTCATTCTAGGATTTGTTTGTTCATGTAACGCGAACATTCGAGATTTTTTACACGTCTAGATGAATGTACATAAAAGTTTCGACAGTTGAAGGTGATCGATTTAGATGTAAACCGATGAAAAGTTTTCTTACGAAGGAAATATCGACAATCTACATGGCTTTCCGTTATCAAGAATATTATTTTATTCTGCTATTCGCGATGAGAAATTATTCTATCTGTAAATATTTCATTCCGATGTAAGAATCAATCTCAATTCAATGGTCGAATTGAATTGCATTATACATTTGATATCTGAGAAAAAGAAAGTTATTTATAATGTTAACGATTAATAGCTTTCTTTGTAGCCTTTATCATCGGCCGATTTTAGATTTGTGTCAGGTGTAACAAAGATCTTGTATAAGTGTTACATTTGTAATATTATTTCGAACTTTCAGAAATTGTCATTCATATGTTGTTTATAATTTTTTCTTTCGCTTTCTTAATCTGTTTAACTCTGCTCATTCGTTAGTTTTAATCTCCATTTAATGTCATTAACGAAATAGATTTTTATCAAGTGTAACAACCGCAGTTTCTTTTATGTGAAATAAACTTTTTTTTTTTAAATTAAAAAAAACTTCAAATTTCACAGTGAAAAATGCTATTACAAACCTAGCTATTACGAACTATTACAAACCTAGCTACAATGATCTTGGCTAGCTACTATTTCAATGTTGTACCTAAAAGAATACTTTGTTGTGGTTAATCGAAACTATAAAATATTGTCGCAGTTTAACTTGCTGTTACTAGTCTAACAATTGTTTGAAAAAAGAAGAAAGGAAACTGATCCTAAAACGGTAATAAAGTCGTGAAAAGAGCTCGCATAATATGCAGAGAAGTGCCTCATAACATATACCTACATTTTATATTTAATCGACAGTTTAAGAAAGCCCACTATAACACGATCTACTTTGAAAGTTTGTTCTGTTTGCTTATTACTGTACTAATTACGGTACGGTTGCACTCATACCATCATTGCGTGATCTATTTACAACAATTCCAATGTTCCTATTTTTTTTTTTTTTTTTTTAATTAGAACGAAGGATATGTTGAGTTGTAACCTTTTTCTCTTATAAATAAATTAAAATCCACAGTTATAGAGAGGGTCACACGTTCGCGTAAAAATTTATGTTCCTTTTTATTTTTTAACCAATACCAAATGTTTCTCGGTTGCTCGTTTGTTAATGAATCTGATTTTTTAATCGTCGCGCTTTCCATAGACCGAAAATGTAAGACGCGTTATTTATAATCTCTAAAGAAAGGACTAGATTTTGCGTAGAAAAAGTTTTGTTTTAGTTCCCATTCTTCGAGTTCAATTAACTTTCTTCTACTCTTCTACTCGTTCGATCAGACTAGTTTTCGTGCAATATGTAAATTTGTAGGAGTTCCCGATCGATTTTTCGATTAAACGTAGCGATAATCGTTTGGGAACTATTAAACTTGCATACTCGATTAGAAAAGGGGAAAGTTACGATTACAGAGACATTTTATTTGAAAAAATACACATTTCGCGTGCTTGTGTGAATTAGCGGTTTAAGAAAACCTAAAGGATCAACGTAACCAAGCTTTTTTGTATTTTTTCGGACAAGATCATATCTTTGATCGGAACTTTTTCCATCGTTTGTTGATAATTCCGTTCCGAAATCAATTTCACGAAGTTTGAACGCGATATCAAAGATTTTTCGAGCACTTTTTGCAATACGATTAGATTAAAAGAAGAAGAAAAAAAAATGGCAGCTAGCGACGCTCAATGAAGATGCTCAGGAAACAATTTTCTATGATTAAATTAAAGTATCGTGATATCAACGAATTCTACGGAATAACAAGAAATTTATATTCGACGTAATATATTTTCAAATAGTCCAGACTTTCCTCGTCGTAGAGTATTTTCGTCCGACTGTGTTAGTTTTTAAAATTTCGCAATAGCTTTGGAACTTTCGTTGTTTCTCTATCACTTATTTTCTTGAGTCACGCTAATATTATTATTAATACATTTATAATAATTAAAAAAAAAAAAGGAAAGGAAAAGAAGAAACACTGTACTTTCCTGTAGCCAATTTACTTATTATCATAGTTATAATGATATAGTAATTGTGATTTTCTTTAATATTATTATTATTATAATTATAATTATCATTGCTATTATTTGGTTCTTTGCTATCCATATAGCTGTTATGCGAAGAGCAACTAAAACGCAAATTGTCGTACATTATTGTACATTCAACATCATCTAACGAGGGAGATAAAAAGAAAATGCGATTGAGGTGACCACTATGAATAGTATCGTGAAGTTTCACGCAATACTATCGGGCAGATCAATATAAGAAGTGAACATCAATATTATCCTCGCGCGTAGTAAGAAACAAGTGCAACAAATACCACGTTCTTTCGTTACGTATGACAAAAGAAAAGGACCGAATGAGATCGTGCATTCGAACTCCATTCACGTATTTATTTTTTTTTTTTTTTTCTTCGTTCGAAAAACGTCAGACATGTCTGTAGCACATTCTTGTGTCCTCGATCAATTCTCGAGAACGTCGTGTCGTTTCTCTCCGTGTGCCCGGCGCGACGTTCTCAAATCGACAAACCGATAAAACGATTGAAGCAAAAAGAAAAAAGAAAAAAAAAAAGGTAAAACAAACGGTGAACGGCCGCTATTCGTTACGTGCACCTCTTGTACAATAGACACGAATGAAAAAAAAAAAAAAAAAACCGAGTAAAAAGAAAAAAACCGAAAAATTCGAAAAAAAAGCTGCTGAAGGCAAAGCTAACTCTATCGGTATGTTTGCGAAACGTGCAAACTTGGAAGGTTTCTCTGGAGAATCCTTCTCGGCCGTTGTCCTGTACTATAATCCTCTCTTTTTCTTTTACTCTTTCTCTTTTCCTATTTCTCGCGAACACGTCGCGAGAAGACCAAGAACGAACAAGACGTTTAGCGTGAACACACTCACTTTCCATTCACACACAGAGGACAGCACGCACGAATACATGCGCATAGTTAGAGATACACACAGATAGAATTTCGTACACGCGCGTGCATACTCGTACACGTATACATGCACAGAAAGAAAAGGACCTCGTGGCACAGACGCATGATTTTATATATGGAACATAATTCTGGGAGGGAGGTAACCGCGAATGCATCTGCGAGACTGCGTGTTAACATGTGAAACGTGTGAGTCATTTTTGTCTGAATGAAGAAAAAAAGAAAGAAAGAAAGAAAGAAATAAACAGCATCGGATACATTACCATGTGTTTATGTGCTTGTACAGTGTACACATGGCTGTCGCGATACACCGACACACGGTCCACGTTTCTAAAACGAAAAAAAAAAAAAATGTCCGTGCATGCTCGTGCGAAATGGTATGGAATCAATTTTTGTTTTTTAGTGATCGAGAGTCGTACATACGTATCACGGTCATACGACACGCACATTGAAATTCCTTTGGGTTGTCGATACACTGACGAAGAAGCCGTTCTTTGTCGATGACTCAACTTTGAGAAACGAAAAAAATCACAGGATATTTCCGCGTGAGGAAAGGGCGGAAACAAGCAGTTCTCAAAATCGTGCTAAACCGTATTAAGTCAGCTGGGAAACACGAGCTTAAATAATTGCCCCTTAAAATAATTGCCACCATAGTTAAATCAAACGATTTGTTAACTATCGTTTCACCCTTTCCATTTTAATTTTCGTTTCTTTACATTTTGTGTCTTTTTTTTTTTTTTTCTATTTTTATTGAACGCGGGTTTGTCAGTGCAGCGTGTCTCTGTTTGACCAAGACGTCCACAAGATTCGGCCGCTGCATCGCTAAAAATTCACCTCCATACCATCGTGCACGAAGCAAGCAAACGATAAGCTTGCACAAGCAAGCACACACACACACATATACACACATACACACATCGCGGCCGTGCATCTCTGTTTCTGAAACGAAACGCGTGCAAAAGTTCTCTGGTCTCTGTTTCTTTTCCGTGTTTGACTGCGAGTAACCCTCGAGGAAGATCGACCGTGTCTCTCTGGATCGGCGTCAGAGGTACACGACGATGCACACTGTTACTTAAGTTCCTGCCACTGAAAGTGTACACACACCGTGCTGTAACCGTGCAATGGATCGTGGCGAACCTCGCGGCGAAAGGAGAGAGAGAGAGAGAGAGAGAAAGAGAGAGAAAGAGATCGGTGTATCGCGAAGGCCGTATGCGCGTTAGCTGTTACTCCATTCGTAGGATCGAGGTCGTTGTAAAGAGATAACACACGACGGCAGGGTCCACGTGCTTCGACCTGGCAATAGGGACGATTACTTACCGTGAAGCACGAGTTATATGCATAATTTGTATCCGCAGTTGTACACTCTGTATCTTTCTTGAATAAACTGAAATAAATTTTTCTTTTAATTCCTTCAGCCAACACGCCCTGGTGCTCGACGACGATTAGATAGAATGACACAACCCGAGACAGACCATGATACACGCGTAGATATGTTCGTGCTTTTTGGGGAAATTTTATGTTCTAAATATATATATTTACCAAATGTACATCATTTTGTACAAATATACGAAATATCCAAACTAGAGACTTTGTCCAGCCATGTTCATAAAAATATATAAGCATTCGCAGTCGAGTTAGATGGATCGACACCCAAGTGACTCTTCCACTTAAAGGCGCAAAATTTATTTTGATCGATTGAATGTCTGTAGTCATTCTATCATGTCGACGTCGACGTTTGTTCATTTCTGACCTGATACTTATCCTTCCATTGACAATTGTCGAATTGGCACGTAATACGTAAATTGGCAGATCCAGTGTCCGCGCGAGGAGGAAATTATGATTTGAATGTACCAAAGAATTAAGGTACAATATTGTATGATATGTGACTTCTGAATCTGAGTTCTGAATCATAGAACATCAGTATCGCTAATGTAATTGTAAGTCTAAGATATCAACTGCATAACGACTTTTCAGCGACTGACTCTTTTTGATTGTCTTTCTGTATTCCTTACTTCTCACGACGTTTCGATTTTTCTTGTTACTTGAATCTTGATCTCACCTGACCTTGCCATTTATAATAAAACTGATCTTACCACTAAAACTACAACTAAATTCTCGATACTACAATACGTAGTTTGGTTGTAGTTCCAGTAACGATTTAATCATTCAGGGACGACATCAAGTTAATTTTAAACTATTAAATTTCATAATTATAAGCCAACTCAACATGCGTCATCATTTGGCTATTAAAATCAGCATTAAACTTACCTGATTATTATTAATACAATTTAAATGCTATCAGACGTCGTCTTTGAAGAGTTAACGGGGAGAATCAAAGAAGTTGAAAAGGGTTGCGAAAGAGAGATGGCTCTTTTATCACAGTAGAAACTTGTAGTGTGTGCGTTTATAACAGCGTTACATTTAATATCGAGGAATAAAATTTTACTCGTCGTTTCTATGTTTCTATGTTTCGTTATAAAGTCGAGTTGTGTATGCACGTATACAATTGATAACTGATCGAATAATTTGTTTCGTTTGACATGTTTGATAAATTCAACAAATTGAGCTGGTCGTCGCGATTAATTAAATGATACTCTTCAAAACGGACAGATACGCCATCGATGCTTTCATTATCTACAAATAAATCAAAATACGAGTAAATTATATAGCGAAGGAGGAAAAGTTTAGTGAAAAGATTTTGCAGTGTTTAGTGATATTTCGATCAAGAAGTAACTTACAACGGCGAACGTCTCCAAGGAAAACACGTAGAACTTGCCAGCAGTAAGATACGATGGCTTTTGCGATCGAGCAATGGAAAATATCAGAGATCGTATATACTGTTCTGGCAGATCGTACCAATTCATGAAATAGCAAGCCGCTTGCACTTCGCTGCTCTGAAAGACGCAAAATTAATACATCTGCTGAAATTGTACGTCTTTTAACAAGCAGGCAATGCTCGCCTGCATTTTAATTTACATCTTGAATTTGAATTATTTATGTAACACGAAAAGATCGAAAGAAAATAAAAACATACACGCGTTTCTCTCTTTTTCGATAATTACCTCATTAATTAGACACTCCCCCAGGAAACAGTAGCAGAATGCCAATAATATAACAGCGCAAGAGTAGATTATAAAATGTATAGTATTCATATCTTCTCCCGATTCGGTTGTCTATAAAATAGTTTTCTGCGTTTAAACTTTATTTACTAGCTCTCAATTAATAAATTGTAATTTAGCATGCATTTTTAAATCGATCGAGGAATTAAAAAAAAAAAAAAAAAAAAAAGAAAGCGAATCAAGTGCAAAGAGTGACAATACAATAATTCTGTCATTTACCGTAAGCAATTGGTAGACCACGACGCACAAAGAGAATATTAATCCTAAGGTCTGTATAAACATCAAAGAACTAAATGTCTCTGCTAAAATGTTTGCCAGTCTACAACGAATATCACACTGTTTCAGCATTCTTGCAAATTTTTTTATCGAACGAAGATATTACTTTTTCTTTTTTTTAACTACGACTCACCGTAGAAGTTCGGTGTGCCGTTCAACGAGTGCTCTCATTTCTGAAAAATATATCCGCGGCTCGACATCGATGTTCCTGACACGATGCGCCACGTTTGAAAGTTGGCCACATAGGTGAAACGTTAACGTCACCAGAAGACTGTCTGCGCCGGTTGCGCCGATTGTTAACATCATGCTTATTGGCATCAAGCAAACGCAGAATAAAGCGTACGATCGCACTCCCGTCACCTCGTAGATGTTTTTCACTTTCATCGGCAACTCGTAAGGAAGCGTGCAATTATTGAATTCTGCGAATTGACGCGATACGTTAGTAAAGATCGAATCCAACTGATGGAAAAAAGAAACTAAAAAATCTTTGAAAAATCGAACATCGACGTTCAAGAATGCTTTTCTTTTTGTTTTGAACAGTACTTAATAGCAAAATGGTTATTAAATAATATTTTCATTGTTCGATGTACTGTGTATACAATTCTTTAGTCGTAAATTTCATTTATTTTCTAAAATTTCGCTACCGCGCGAAATGAAGTATTCACAGAGTTTCGCTTTCAACTTTTAAGTCTCTTTTACTTTCTTGTGGTAAGTTTAAATATCGAATAAAAATTTTAATTGAACTTTAAGTTGAGGAGTTGTCGATTAACTTACGTATTTTTACAACGATACTTGTAAAAGATCTTTCAATCTCACTTTTTCAGTCTTTATGCTACTTATCGAAAAAAAAAAGAAAGAGAGGGAGGGGAGAGGGAGAGGGAAGACTGTAGAAGAATATTGAGTACATAAATTCTTAACGTTTAACTTGGCCGTGGAACGACCGCGAAAAAAGAAAATTACGGCGTCGGTGGTCTTGCGGAACCTTCGACAAACTATGACAGCCCTGTAAAACGTGACCGTTTTGTGTATCGTAAAGGAAGTACTTAACCATCGCCTCGGTACACCATAAAGCTGCACACGCGAGGTAACTGTACGCGCGATCATATGAATACGGATATCGTATGCGTTTCCTGGATCCGAGCGATAAAGTTCGCATTAAAGTCTTGATTTATCCCGCCCTGAGTATTCGCGACGTGTCGATAATACCTGCTAGCTTAATAAAACAGCCACTTTTACCGCTTTCTTTGCTCCGCGGGTTTTAATGAAACACTATGCTACGACACACGAACCTAGACTTGATCTCTCGTGGAACGTTGAATGCTAATTCTTGGATTGTCCTCCGATTTAACCTCTTGCGCTGGAATGACGTGCCACGCACGTCGAGAGTTTTTTTGTTCCAAAATTGCAACATTTCCTCAGTTTTAAGTATATTCAAGTAAAACAAAATAGGCGAAGCAAATAATAAATTTATTTACTTATCAATAATTTCTATCCAATGACATCGTACCGACGAGTTCAAAAAGAAAGCGACGAATTATTGTATACGATTTCGGTCACTCGTTATGGTCCGCAATCGGTTGCCAGCGCAAGTGGTTAATCTTCATATCGATTGTGAGTCGGTGAAATAGTTTGAAGCGCGAAAATATCTACGAAATTCCTGTAAATTGCAAACTGAAATGCAATCAAGAGTAACGAAATTGATCTATCGATTGATCTTTCAACTATTAATAAATTACTCTCTCGTTAATTTCATCCTGCGTTGAGTGTGTAAGCCACCAATGTCCAAAACTTCATCGACCGAGAGAATCACCCCATTATCTCGAGTCGGCGACTACAGATCCGAACGACTCGGCGAGTCAGAGATCGAACTTACTCGATAAAGCACAGCTGACGATCGGCTTGGAATAAAACAAGGTGGGCACGAAGAACAACGACAAGGCCGACGAGGTGGAAAATAACGTGGAGGCCACGTTATACCAAACGACCGTTCGCCTTTCCTCCTGCGATCCGTACAATCCTCTTTCCACGTCCCTTTTCACGACCGTCAGCAATGGTAGCACGAGATGCATGTTCAACCGGAACATCACTGCCTTCAGTATTATCAAGATGGTCGGGAACGACAGCGTGATGTTCTTCAACGTCTTCTCAAGGTCGTGGATATTCTGCAGCAGCGTCACAATCTCCAGCCAGGTGAAGATCACGACGTACGTAATGTAGAAGAAAAATCGAACGTCGTTGCGATTATCTGGCCATAGGCCGGATAAGCTCAACAGCCGCTTGCTCCACGAGATCACGTTCTCGTCGTAGAACAGTTCTACGTACGACAATATCGGTTTCCTCATCCTTGAACGAGCGTGACAACTTGACTCTTAGCTCGAGGAAACTCGTACCAGTATCGAGCCGCGAACGATCGAAAGGCGAAAGTTAGTCGTTTTTTTCCCTCAAGTGTCGCGTTTATTGCAATTTATGGCTTTTGGAACAAACAAGTCTCAAAAATCGCACAGCGCTGTTGGTGAATCAGGGCTCTCTTCGTGCCGATTGTAATCTGATTTTCATCTTGAGGGATGATCATGCTAGAGTAACCATAGTGTATAGCTTTTGATACGACTGGTCTAAGAAGTAAGATTTAATAGCGCTCTTTGCTCTTGAAATATGTATGTTCAATAATGGAGGAAAGTTTCTGAATTTGCGACAGACCAGCAAACTGGCAGTCGAACTTTTCGAACTTTTCGCAAGAGATTGCAGTTCGTATTAGAAAATTGGAGAAGATTCTCGCGAATAGTTTTCCGATCGATGGTAGTTCCCCATTAATGAGTGATTACGCATTCCCTGATGGCTATTGTCTCGAGACGAATCACGCCATTGGCGCGAACTGTTCGAACCGCTGTTCGAGACATCAGTCGCAAGTTATTTTATACGCGATACGTCTACGTATACGTTGGAAAGTTCGATGCAACGATCAAAAGTAAACTTGGACAGCGAACACGTAATAGGTCAATTACTAGTTCCTCCGCTATTTGCAATTAACAACTTTTGCCCCCGCGATCGCAGACGCTATTATTATACACTTTCGATCCGTTCGTTCGAAGACCGAGTGTTCGAGTCTGAGACAGAATGCACAACGTTTGGTGTGTCGTATCGCTTCGAAACTGACAATACAACTGTAAATTTTTACAATGAAACAATGATCATTTGCGAAAACGTGTAATACGAAGTTAAAGTGGAACTGATGTGAACTTACACTGTAAATGTCCTACGTATTCGAGATAAACACATGTTATGAAGTGACAAGTTAATCTCATATATATGCAAAGTTATAATATAATATGCAAGCTTTCGAGAATGTGATTAAAAATTGTATAACGTACTAAATATCATAGAAAACTCTGCTCTGGATGTTTTGTATAATTATAATGACGATGCGTGTATAATCTTGTGGCTTGTATTTTGTACGTGCAATACGGTTTTCTGTAGTTTCTTAAATTTTATGGCTTTCTTAAAAAGTCAAACTTAATCCAAGATGCAATTAGAAAGAAGCACAGCGTAAAATGAACCGTGAAAATATCTATAAATAGGGATAAAATGAGCTACAAAAACACCTACAAATTCCGTCTAATTTTGTCAAGTTATCATCAAACATTAATATCTGAATAAACACTGAGATAAATCATTTTATATAATAATTTTATACAATCTATCAATATTATAATAATAGTAATTTTTTTATATTATATATTATTTATTTTTTATAATAATAGTAATTTTTATATAAATATCTATATAAATTATATTTGCAAGAAACAAGTCTGACATTCATTTCGAATTCATCATCGCGAACCGGAAGAAACTTCTTCGACCAGGAGAGCCTCCAGATTCTGTCTGCGACGCAGAGATCGCTGAGACACGTAATCGATCGGCGTAATTTAGAGTAAAATTTCTAGCAGCAAACAGTGGGCAAGAAATCATCGTTCGAGGACGATGAAGAGCGCGTGTGCGCGGCGGCGGAGCTTGCGACGCAGCCAGCGAATGCAACCAGTGTCATGCAGTCGTTGCACCGAGTGCACGTGGAGAACGTTGCTGATGCAAGGCAGGACACGGAAGTCCGTGGTGCACAAGGGTGCTAGATCGCTTTAAGGATCGAGGAGATTTGTGTTTCGAGATGAGGTACAAATATATCGGGGCGATCGGCGCGTTTTTGATCGCGATCGTCTGCCTGTTGTCAGGGTTGATGTATTATTTCAATCAAGGTACGTGAGTATTGTTGAAAATTCAGAGTCTGATATTTTATTTCTTCGGTTATGCTGTATTGTTGTCAATTGAAGTTTCGTGACAACATACGACGTGCGTGTATGTTTGAATAAAATATTGTTTGTCAAACTGTTGTTTAAAGTATCGTGAATATCTTGCAAGATATTTGTGTGAAACACTTGTACTTGTCTTTCTGCTAATCATATTTATGAATAGATAATTACTCGTTTAATGGATAAACAAAGCTTTTGAAACACGAGATTCAGTAATTTTTAATATCACATTTTTCTGATAATTATCTTATCTTGAAGTATGATACATATTACAACGTTCGATCATGGATTCTATTTATAGATTACTTACAATATTTATAAGCATTGAAAATTAAGATTACATAAATTCTATTCGAGAATTATTTCTTGCAACAAAAATGCCAACAGCCGAACGAGGAAAAAGAAAGATGAAGAAACGAAGGATTATATTATAGCATAAATGATTAATCAATTGCCTCGTGGCAGTAATACGCTCTTTTACATTTTCCAAGCGGGAGGTCGATTTCAATTATCCTCCATTCTGTCATCCAAACTCTGGCATACTTGGATGATTAACAACTCGATTTTCCTGATTACAGACACATGTCCAGTGGGAACGTTCCTTTGTCACAACACCACTACCTGTCTACCACAGAGAAATTGGTGCGATCAGCTAAACCAATGTCCTTACGGAGACGACGAACAGAATTGCTGTTAGTTCACGGAATCTACCGCTTGTTCCGTTTGTTGTTCAATTTTTCAGAAGACAGACGAAAAATCATCGACTGCAAAATGATCGTCGAATATTTTGCACTTCGTATTTTGTATTTTGTCGAGTATAGTTGCCTTCGCGCGTTGCTCGATTACACGAGATATCATTTTCCGGGCAAAAACGAATTAAATTTAAAATTTAGTTCCGACGTGTGGCATCCCTTTTACAATGTATAAAACGCGCAACGTGCCGAACCGCGCGATATAAAAAATGTTACTTTGTATGCAGATGATTATCACGGCGTATTGGACTGGTTTGGCAGTGACAGAGATTCCGAGGCAGTAAGGGAGTTCGTTTGCGGTAATGCAATATCCATAATTTATCGAACAAACCGAGCACAATATCGAGTAACAGAAAATAAAAATGCGACGATAAAGCGAAACGCAATGGAAACGAGATAAGGATTGGTAATTTACGTGTGTCTTTCTTTCCCCTTTGGTCTTTCTAGATGCCACCGACATTCCTGTCGGTTGTAAGTACGTGAAGTGTCGTGCAACTTGTCAAGGGTACACGGAAATTCCGCGAAACCTATCTACTCAAACTACTTCCATGTACGGTTTTTAAGTATCAACCACTTCCCTCCAGAGCACGTACACACGTGTATTTTCTTTTATTTCTCGTCACGTGTCGGCGTTAGATCTTAGTTCTTAATCGCTGCGATTAATTTTTTTAGAACTTTGTACGACAGCTCGATCAAACGCGTGCCAACGGGCGCCTTCGCGCGATACTCGGAGATTCGTATACTGTAAGTTTTGTCAAAGAGTTCTATTTGCTTTCTGTAGTATATTTTTGATAAAAAAAAAAAAGAAAGGAAAAATAAAAAATATAATTCCCCCCCCCCCCCCCCCAGGTATCTCGATGGCAGCGATATACACGAGCTAGGAAAAGGAGCATTTCTCAATTTGACCAAACTGTTTTGGCTGTGAGTATAAATTGGAAATTGGAAACATTCCTCCGATCGAGTTTCTTCTTCGATAATACTATAATAAATTGAACAATTTTTAAATATATTCTGTGTACTCGAACAGAGCTTTGGATAATAATCAAATTAGCGAACTTCGACCCGGACATTTCGCTGGTCTAACCAACTTGGAATCTTTGAGGGCCAATAAAAATAGAATCACCATGGCAGATTTCTCGGATTTAGAAGGGAGCGACGCTTTAAACTTCATGTGAGTCGTTTGTACGAACATCGTGCGACCGTATCTTGACGTTAATTTATTACGTTACAAACAGAAATTTGAATGAGAATCAACTGACTTCGAAAGGACTGAGATTGCCCGAATTACCAGCACTAAATGAGATGTAAGTTTGTAATTTGATTTTTCTTCCTTCTCTTTGCAAATGTTAAGACATTTCACGTGATTCCAGATTGTTGGATGAAAATAATTTCGAGACGATACCGGACACATTGTTCGCTGGCTGTCCGTCGTTAAAATTACTGTACGTACGTAAGTAAATCTCCTTAAAAAAAAAAAAAAAAAAAAAAAACGTAGAAAATTGATCTTTGCATTTATTTGAAAAATGTTTATTGCAACAAAAAATAGTTTATAATTATTATAATTTTCAAATTTTCAATTTATTTGAGCTTTCTTCTTAATCCTCGTCACTTGAATAGAATGTAAAATACAGGATAAATCCGAAACGTTCGAAATTTTAGTTATCTGACATAAATTGGCACAGTGATCTGTGACCGAAACGATACTATTCGACGGTCAGTAATATCAAACTCCATAACTTTGCCCAAAGAAATGTCGCTAATAAATCGCGTTAAGGGGGTTAAGCAATTCTTTTTGCCGATCTGAGACTAACGAGTAACATCAACACCGTTGCTTGGCACCAGGAGTATGCAAAAGAACAGGATAAAGACGATCGAGGGGGACACGTTTCAAAATTTGGAGCAGCTGGTCGAACTGTAAGTTCCTCGATTGCGTTACCTCGATCTGCGAATGCCCGCTCACGGCGAGGTAACGAAGTTATGCCCGTCGTACATCACAGCCGGGTGTCGTGCAAAACCGACCTTTTTCCCTTTCAGTAATTTGGCGTTCAACGAAATAACGAGCGTCCCGCTGAATGTATTCCAGCCGTTAAAAAATCTGACGAGGCTGTAAGTATACGAGGCATATACCGGCATCCACATAAATTGTAACGCTACACGTCTTAAGCTACACGCGCGTGCTTGCAACATATTTACCTGATATTTACCGTCGAACGCACGTCTGGGCGTTAGAAAAGCAAATGAGAAGAACGTCACGTATCCTGGCGTTAAAACTTTTATTTATTGTGCCGACACGTACCACGGGAAATAAGGCCGATACAACCGTGTGTCATTATCGCGGTTTTATGGTTAAACCAATTCGAGCGATTTTCAAGAAATTGTTAACCAGATCGGACTTAATTTCAGGCAGTTAGGTTACAACCGTTTTCACAATTTACCGATGGCTGTGTTGACTCCGTTGACGAGACTTTACTCCCTGTAAGTTTCGTTTCCTCAAATGCGGATTTTTATAAGTAACATTTGATTTTCTCTTGTTGTAAGTTTGGAACAAGTTTAAAATAATGAAACGTTAGAAGTATCGAACGGGACTTCTAGTAATTCTGAGTCCTCTTAATTCTATAATTCTGTCTGTAATATTTTTATACAATTTAAGTATTTATTTAATTTATTTTTAATTAAATTAAGTATAATTTAATTTTTTTTTACAAGCATTTTTTAGTCTGTAATATTAGAAGTGTCGAATGAGATTTTATTCTTTGTGACTTCTAGTACTCTTCTCCTCTTAATTTTATAATTCTATCTGTAATATTTTTATACAAGTAATTTAAGTATTTATTTAATTTTTTTAATTAAATTAAGTATAATTTAATTTTTTTTTAACAAGCATTTTTTAGTCTGTAATATTAGAAGTGTCGAATGAGATTTTATTCTTTATGAGTTCTAGTACTCTTCTCCTTTCTATAATTCTATAATTCTGTCTGTAATATTTTTTTATAAGTAATTTAAGCATTGTAATATTTTTTTTTACAAATAATTTATAAATATTCTTTAGTCTGTAATATTTTCTAGAGCTCACAAAAATATTGATTCAGGTGATTTTACGTGAATTTAGAGACCTGGAAGGTATAAATTTGGACACGCTGCAGAAGAACGCGTTCGACACGTTCGAGCAACTGGACTTCGTGTAAGTAGATCTATCCGTATTGTGTCAGGCAAGCTAGTTTCATTTATAAATGCAATTCTAACGAATGTGTTTATCGTCGAACGTTAACATTGTTTTACGAATGTAATAAAGTACACACTGTATTGATTTCAAGTGCTAATCGACACTAATTTTCAGCTACTTCAAGAAGTTTCATTATTGCGCGACTTACGCGCCGAGAGCAAAACGATGTCGACCGACCAGTGACGGTAAGGATTGTTTAAAAGACACAAAAAACAATATATCTCTGTATCGTTCAATTAATTTACATTATTCAACCACAGTCAATTTCGATTTTACACTCGGGAATATCTATGCTCTTGGCTCGTCATTAAATGGCTATGATTTACTGTAGTCATTAAATTACATAGCTTTAATCTACGCATAAAATAATAACCTACACTGACATTAATGGAATACGAAGGCGAATTACGAGCTGATTCAACGTACTACTTATTGTAACGTACTATAATAATTGGTAGATTTTAATGGCCTATGATCTTGCAAAATGCGGCAGTATATTACGAGATATTAGCAAACGTTTCCATATTTTTGCGAAGATCACCACTTTCTTAAATAGTCGTGAAATGAATAACGATGGAATAATTCGAATTTAATTCGATATATTATGCAGGAGTATCATCGTTATCTCATTTGCTTGATAAAACTTTATTACGAGCGGCAGTCTGGGTAATTTCGTGCGTTACCTGCATGGGCAACGTGCTTGTTCTTTGGGGGAGATTCACTGCCAAGGATGAGAATCGCGTGTTAACCATCATCATTCGAAATCTGGCAGGTACAGTATAATTTAAAAATTGTTTGATGCATGTTAAGTTCGTGTACTAAAAAAAAAAAAAGAAAAAAAAGAAAATCACGAGAACGAAAGCAAAAAAAAAAAAAAAAGAAGAAACACTTGCGAAAATCTGAGTAATATTCTGAATTCATCGATCAAAAGATATTCAATCAATTGAAGATACTAAGTTGTATAACGAGTGAAAAGTTAGAGTTTAGTTTGATGAGCAAGGAAAATTTTATGTGCGTTCTAATGTTGAAGGTTTTTCAACTTAACAAATATGTCAAACATTTGTGGGTTATGAAAGACGAGTTTTGCTTTGTTGGTAATGTTTTAGAAAATGACACGTCAATCTCATTTAGTTTCAATATTGTCCATCACAAGTCATTGAATCACCACAAGAGTGATATAATCTCTTTACAGTCTCCGACATGTTAATGGGGCTGTACCTGTTTGTAATCGCCATAACGGACATGATATTCCGCGATAATTACAATCGAGTCGCCAGTTCATGGATGTCTTCGTGGTTCTGTACCTTTTTAGGAGTACTGGCAATGACATCTCTGGAGGTACATTTATCGATCGTATTCTATAACAAAACTCTGATACATTGATTTACAAACTTTGACTGTAAAAAATTCCCTGACAACAACTATAAATATAAATATCGATTTTTAGTTTTAACTTAACATTTCCGGTAGAGTTAAAAATCGGCAATTAAAATTTTCAGCGGTCCCTTTAAAAGTCAGAAGATCTTCTTCTCGCGAATTTTTCATCTCTGCTTTTAAATTTAAATCTCGAAATATATTAAAATTTAAAAGATTGTTATTCGTACGTTCAGCAATTTAACTGTTAAAAACTCGAAAAAATTTCTCGCTGTAATGTTCGTGAAACTTTCGAGCGAGCGTTATCTTAAGAAGGTGAACAGCTTGCGTCATTAATTCACTGAAGTAAAATCGATTCGTCAAGGTTTCAGTATTGATCCTGTCGTTTATGTCCGTGGAAAGATATATGCTAATCGCAGCCCCGCTAAAAGGTCACCGTACCATGACACCGCAGACGGCATTCGCATCGGTGATCATCATCTGGATCACGGGAATTGCTCTTGCACTCATGCCAGGTTCGTCTCGAACGTATCTTATTTGTTCATGAACCACGGCTGCATGATCGGTGATAACATCTAATAAACTGTCAAGATGTCCGGCTGCCTGTTAACCCACTGATTATGATAACGTAATACGAACCAGACAGCACGCTCCCTGTTCGTCGTTTTGCGAATCAATTAAACGTCGCGTCGATTGTTCTGATTACTCGAAAGCCTGATCTTGATTCTACGTCGATGTAATTGTTGGTCGTTGGACTCTCTTGTGAAATTTATTAATTTGCAATGGTAGAAGTTTCCAAGTGACTTTAATCCGATATATCTCACTCCGTGATATTTTTGTCCGGTGATTTGGAAATGAATATTTGCGACGATGAATTGTTTTGTTGATCTTTCGCACGAATGAATTCGAAGGCTTCTTTTTTTAGAAGACTTTTGTTTCAAACGTGATCGTTGCATGCAATAAAGTTCTACCGCTACAGCCACCGTGTAAGAAATAATCGAGGAAAAGACAGTGTTCTCAAATTAATTGTAACTCGTTCGGAAGTGATCCACTGGCGAAGCAGCACGAGATTTTACGGTGTAAACGGAATGTGTTTCCCTTTGCACATCGACGATCCGTACTTGATTGGATGGGAGTACTCGGCCTTCGTCTTTTTGGGATTAAATCTTACGGGGTAAGCGGACACGATCGACGTGCGATAAAAGAGATTAAAAAAAAAAAAAAGAAAAAAAGAAAGACGAAGAAAAAGCAACAACTTGAAAATTTAAATACAGTACAATAAACTCTTCTCCTCGTGCAAATTGAATTTCTGTTTCAGGCTGCTTGTAATTGGTTACGCGTACGCAGCTATGTTTGTGAGCGTCTGGAGAACGAGACACGCTTGTTCCCTGTCTGTTGGCGACTCCGAATTCGCCTTGCGATTTTTTCTCATCGTTCTAACGGACGCGGCGTGCTGGGCGCCAATTATCATTTTGAAGATTAGAGCCATGATGAGGTATCCTATATCAGGTAATATCCTATGTCTGCTTGTTACTAATTCCTTTCTGTGCGTTCAGCTCCTCTTCCACTTGAGATTTTTCAGTTTTAATTGTCGCTAATTAACAGTTTTCGTGCCCGTGAAACGATCGTTTTGCGATTCAAATTACCCTATAAATTCTTAGCTTTAATTGACTATATCTGTGGTAATACTAATTCATCGATGATAATTTAAATCACAACAAACGCACTCTTCCTACGCTGAGAATGAGACGAATCGAAATATTAAATATCGTAAACAAGAGAAATTAATCAGTGTTGTTTAATTTTGAACTTCGAGTTGTTTAACGTTTGGTTCGGATCATATCCATATTGAACATTCTATTTCTAATTGAACATTCTGTTGCAGCTGATCTCCACGCGTGGGTTGTAGTTTTCATACTACCCGTCAACAGCGCGGTTAATCCGCTGTTGTACACATTTACCACGCCGAAATTTCGAGAGAGATTAAACGACGGGTGGTTTGCCAAAGTTCGTAACTACATGACACGAAGAAAATCTTCCGCCAAAGGTACATTTCGTTTCCAAAATTTTTAGAACAATTCAATTGTCATTATCACAATATATATTCATTAATCACAATAATACAATAATACTACAGCGACCTGTATGCAACTGTCTTATCGTCATTGATGAGAATACTTGTCACCGCAGATTCGAGAACGTCCACGTCGATGAGCAACAGGAATATAATGTTGTCTTTGTCCAATGGAAAAGAGTATATTAATAAAATTCCTCCGATGCTTGATTTTAATAAGAAGAAAACGCAGCAGACAATGCAGTGAATTTCATATTATACGATTAATCTGTTATTACTCGAGAGACGATAGAAAAGGCAGGTATTTCTCTTGCATGATAAACATTAGCCTAAGCTTTTACCAATTAACTTGGAAAGTTACATAGCGAAGGTATAACGAAGACAATAGATAAGTTTTATGAACAAGTACATACTCTGTTGTTGAAGGTTTAATAGAAACCAAAAACTTGATGTGTAACTGTTGTATATATCTGTATGACGAACTGTTACGAGTAGAATAAAACATAGTTTACCGAGATCATATAATGAATCATATAATGACAGTGATCGTGGGAATATCGTAATACGAAACCTAAATGGAAAGGAAGACAGATCACTGTAGATTCAAATTAGGAGAAAGGATCGATTATCGAAGTTAATAAAATTTTAAATCGTTAAAATTACTAATTTTTCCCCTCGAATCATAAAGTCTGCAAATAATAACATTCAAATGCCTAAACTTTCAGGAAAAAAACTCCCAAAATATTAAATTCTCAATCTCGATAAATCTAACAAGTCCACCAAATTCAACGATCTCTAAATCAACTGATAACACTGAAACATTTAAATCTACAGTTCGAAGAAAATATTCTATAAGTTTCCAATCTCAACAACTTTAAAATCCATAAATTTTCGAAAATTTTCAATACTAGAAAAATCGAAGCAACGAGCCGAGAACTGAAACGATCGCGGTGACGGACATTTACGATTGGATCGTAACCAGATACAGCGATTCGCAAGCGATTTTACACGATCTCGGCCCGAGTTCGATCGTTTGCTTTACGACGCGAAGAAGTTTCGTGCAATCCGCTTCAACTCCCACGTAGGAACGATGATGTTCCTCGTTTAAACCGTGTAAATTACTCGTAACGAAGAGCACCGGGACGCGTTCGGAAAAAAAGAATTTATCGCATCCGTATTCTGATCTATCGGCGAATCGGTGTGCCACGATGATGCACCGTTATCGAGGAGTTCCTGGAGGCGTCGCGCCGATTTTCTTATCGAGCTGCAGACGGAATAACCGGCACGCTTTTTGTCAGGTCGCGACTGGTCGTCGTACGCCGCTCATAATTCGACGCTCAATGAACGTAAACAACCCTCCCTCCGTATTTTACCGGCGGCACTGGATTGCCTAATTAAGTCAGCGCGTTAAGAGAATCAACCGGGAGAATCCAGCGGAATGACGGTGTAAACACATCATCGTATAAAATGCACGTTGAACTTTCGAACGCGCAATGAACGCGAGGATTGTTGTGTCTTTTGAAAGATAGCGATTGCTGGTTTTTTCTTTTCCTTTGAACGCTCTCAGAGCATTGAAAAAGCTCTCATTTATTCACTAAATACATAAATATTTAAAAATGTAGACAGATGATATTAATAGTTTATTCAAATAGATAACATTTTTTATTTCATGTTGTAGCTTGCTCGAATACTTTGTAAAGTGATCATAGGTAATATTCTATATAATAATTATTGTTAAATTTTGGTACTTTTTCTTTGCGAGAGAGCATTAAAAAAACTCTCATTTACTAAATTTGTGAATACTTACTAAGAATGTAGTTAAATGATGTTAATAGTTTATTGAAATAGATATAGTTTTTTTTGGTTCATGATGTTGTAGCTTGCTCGAATACAATACTTTGTAAAGTGATCATGGGTAATATTTACTGTTAAATTTTGGTTTGTTAAATTTTGGCTTTTTCTTTGCAAGAGAACTTTCATTTGTTTGCAGGAGTACTTTGTGATAATTTCAATTGTTAGAGGCAGTAAGATACATACAACGTATTTTGAAACAATTATAGAAGGCATAATTGACAGCTTCACGACGTTATAATTCAACGTGATTGAATATTTGTATCTATTAACACAGTTCAAAGATCCACAAGCTGTTAATTGACTAAATTCGAACAGAGTGTGCAGTGACGTGACGTTTCAACACTGACGTTCAATTATACAGGGTGTTTCATAACTTGTGGGACCCACTTCGAGAGCTGATTGCACGCCTAAAAATAATGAAAAAAAGTCATATAAATATATGTTCTATCTGTCTTCGTTTATGAGATATAATGAATTTTCTGTT